GTGATGGTTATTGATGGTGATGGTGATGGTGATGGTGATGGTGATGGTGATGGTGATGGTTATTGATGGTGATGGTGATGGTGATGGTGATGGTGATGGTTATTGCTGGTGATGGTGATGGTGATGGTGATGGTTATTGATGGTGATGGTGATGGTGATGGTTATTGATGGTGATGGTGATGGTGATGGTGATGGTGATGGTGATGGTGATGGTGATGGTGATGGTGATGGTGATGGTGATGGTGATGGTGATGGTGATGGTTATTGATGGTGATGGTGATGGTTATTGATGGTGATGGTCATTGATGGCTAGCCATGATCATCATGGGAATAGCTGGGCGTGGGTATCGTTGTCGCCAGCACTGTCCCCATCCCACAGTCTCTCATACTTTTTCATATCCATCTCTTCTCCGTCGCTGTTTCAATCAAATCGCTGCACCGCTCTTCCTTCTATTCGCGTGCGCGGATGAGGCGGCGACGGTGGCGGCGACGACGGCAGCCACTGCTTTTGTTTTTCAGCCACCTGATCAAAACCCGTCACTGCTGCCCCACTACACACGCCATCAACACTCGCCACACAACCAACAACAAGTTAGCTACTCGCCAGCCGCCTGGTACAACACGCATCACATCTCAAGCAAGGATGTTTGACGCAATCACCCGCATGTTCAGCTCTTTTAAGCTCAAGATCGGCAAGCTGTTCAACACGTCGTGGGGCGTTCGCAACGCGCGCATCACCATGATCGGCCTCGATGCCGCCGGAAAGTCAACCATGCTGTACAAGCTCCGGCTCGGCGAGATCGTGTCAACCATCCCGACCATTGGCTTTAACGTGGAGACCATCGAGTTCAAGGGCGTCTGCTTCAACTGCTGGGACGTCGGAGGTCAGGACAAGATCCGCCGCCTCTGGCGGCACTACTTCAGCGGGCTTGACGGTCTCATCTTCGTCATTGACGCCAACGACCGCGATCGGCTCTCCGAGGCCCGCGATGAGCTCAACAGCGTGCTCGCTGCGCCCGAGCTCGCAGGCGTCCCGCTCCTTGTCATGGCCAACAAGATGGATCTGCCGTACGCGCTGTCCGTCCGCGACATCACCGACGCGCTTGGCCTCGTCGGTGAGAGCCGCGCCTGGCACATTCAGGGCACATCTTGCCTCTCCGGCGATGGCCTGTACGAGGGCCTCGACTGGCTCCGCACTGCCCCCTTCGGCGTTGTCTCTTGAGGCATCTGGAGCGCCCACTGCATCAACGGCCGCCTCCTTTCTCCGCCCCATCTCCTTCATCAAACACACACCGCACATCATCAAACACACTCTGCGCACACACATGAGCTTGCTAACCACCAGCTACTTTCTGGCTCCTCTTTGCCCCTCCCCTCACTGCGATCGCTTCATCCCATCCGCCTACCGCGCCGCACGCCACCCCCCCTACCCAGCCGCCCCACCACCGATCACTCCAACCGATCACCCCAGCCAATGCCCACCACCCTTCCCTGACCCCAATCC